CCAATTCCTTTTGATACAGTGACTCAGTATATTCTTTCCATCTTCTTTTAATACTTCCTGGATCATTTAACATTTTGCCGAAAGCATCCTTGATTACACAGTAAAATTTAGAACCCTGAATTTATTAAAAATTTTAAAATCCAGTTCACTTTGTGTTCAATCACCAATACAGTCACATTTAAAAAGAAGTTACTAGATTAGTTCACTCGGCATCATGATCCCCAGTCTTTTTCAAGTTATGTAGTCTTTTTTGAAACTGATGCTTCTGAGTGCTGCGTAGTAGTCCATTGTGTGAATGTACTACAATTTCTCAATCCACTCAGTTGTAGTTGGACATTTGGGTTGTTCCCATGTTCTTATGATGGTGAATAATGCTGCTATGAACGTTGTACAAATCTCTGTTTGTACCACCATTCTAATTTCCTTGGGGTATATTCCTAGTAGTGGAATAGCTGGTTCATAGGGTAAGTTTATGTTCAACATTTTGAGAAAATGCCAGACTGCCTTCCAGAGTGGATGTACCATTTTACAATCCCACCAACATTGTATGAGAGTTCTAAACTTTCCATAACCTTTCCAACACTTATTTCTTGCTGCCCTGCTATATTATTCCACTGCTACTTGGGTAAGATAGTTATCTCACGGTGGTTTTGATTTGCATCTCTCTTATTTCCAGTGATTTTGAGAATTTTTCATGTGTCTGTTTGCCATCTAAAGGTCTTCCTCTATAAAAAATCTTTCCATGTCTTTTGCTCATTTTGTAATTGGGTTATCAGTCTTTTCTTCTGGTCGCTCAACAGTATTCTATAAATTTTGTTATGAGACCTGTGTTTGAGATGTATTGCCAAATATTTTTCCCCCAGTCAGTAGGATTGCTTTTCACCTTGCTGGTGAAAGTTTTTGATGAGTACAGGAATTAAGCTTTAGAGAGTTCCATTAGTCAATTTTATCCTCTCCAGATTGTACATTTCTGACTATTTGTCAGCTTCTTTATACCATAGAGTAGGCCTTCTAAGCTTGGCCCCAGATTGGTTTTTTATGAACTTTCTGGTTTTGATCTTTACCCCTAGGTCTCTGATCTACCTCGGGGTGATTTTTGTGTATGGTGTGAGATATAGCTCCTGTTTCAGCTTTTTGCAGGCAGCAGTCCAGTTTTGTCGGCACCATTTGTTGAAGAGGTTGTCATTTCCCCATTTAATAGGTTTTATTTCCTTGTTTAATATCAATTACCTTAGACAGATAGATAGGCCCATTTCTGAGTTCTCAATTCGGTTCCATTGGTCTACGTGCCTGTCATTGTACCAGTACCATTCTGTTTTGGTTACCATCACTGTATAGTATGTTTTGAAGTCAGAGAGCTATACTGTGTAACGCCATTATTGTAAAAATAGAAGGATGACTATTAAAACAAATATGGGGATTCAGTGAGGGAAGGAGTGGGAGCAGAGAGGGGAGGATGAGTAGGGGTGATATCACTGGGTTCACAATTTGATAGATGGAGGAAAGGGGTAAAAGAAATGGGAAAGGAAGGCAGGAACCAGAAAAGGCAGGGTAATGATGAGCATAGTCCAATGGTAATTAATTTTATAAAACACAATGCATGGAAGTGATCGTATGAAACACAAGGTGAATGAAGAATTAGTGTGAAACACCATGTATATGAACTTTGTAAGCAAACCAATATTAAATAAAACAAACAAAAAATAAAAAGAAGTTACATCATGGAAAGCTAAGACACATATATAAACACACATATTTACATAGCTCACATCTATTCAATGCACGAGTAGGTAGAAGTGATACCACTGATTATCAGTGTTTTAGGCCCTTAATCTACCCTGGTCAAACCACATTTTTAAGCATATAGTATGCAAGTGGGGATGAAGATGTCCTGTTTTCACTTCCCCACCATGTTGTGCTCACCAACACCTATCCTGCAGGCCCTGGACCACACTAACAGGATCAAGAACCCATGAACTCTGCAAATGGCCCTGTCTTTGCCTGCCGTGTTGCCAGAGAAAGGTTCCTCTTGGCCACACCCCAGTGAGGCCCTAAGGAATTTGCACATCCCTCAGTGACTGCTCATTCTTGAATACTACCACCTCTAGCCTAGAAAAGGAAACTGAAGAAGAAAACTGGGAAGGAAGAGCCACTTCAGCAAAATAAGCTGGACTGTCCTCTAGATGGACTCAGGGTGCTAGGAAATCACCTCTCCACTTCTCACCGATGGGCACTTACAGACTCTTAGACTGTCTTGGGCCCATGACCACTCTCTGGAGTGCAGGCTGCATAGGGCAGCTCTCCAAGTTCCATGAGTAACACTGATCTACCAGCCAGAGAGATCAAGGGAGCCTGGCATACACCTGGAGAAGGAGGGCATGTTATTCTGTTTCCACAGAAAAGGGGGAGTCTGAGCTAGTCTCCACCTGCATCAGCTCACACAGTCTCACCACTAAAGAAGGGGCCAGGGCAATAATCAGGACAACGTGCAGACCTCGGAGAAAACCACTGAGTGTTATCTCCTCTATAAAGCAGGAAGAACTCCCCTCAGTGTAGAATCACACTCAGGGCCACAGGGGCTGCACTGCCCAAGGAAATGTGCTTACTGTGGGGCCAGCATTTTGCTGCTGACTTTGTTCTTTTACCTTCATGAAGGGCTTGTCTGCCTGCCCACTAGCCAGCCCCTGAGGGTAAGGCCCCTTCTGTTCTGCCATGTGTGTGAGCAGGAAAAACTCCTCACAGTCAGCTGTGCCAGGTATGCAAACGGGCTGGAGAAAAAAACGGTTGGACAATCTTACTCTGGCTGAAAACAAGACTTTCCACAGAGACCATGCATCGGTTTCGAACTATCAAAAGAGATAGAAACACACTGCTAACGTTGTGTGGTGCATAATATCACCTGTCTTTGATGATCTGATTCAGAGAGGGCACCTGGGGTTCACCATTTGGATGTTGTTTGGAAAGTGAGGTAACAGCAAGAGGTTCTCTCTCCCCACCAAGTCCCTGTGCCTCCTCCCTTCACAGTGCACACCTTGGGACCATCCAGGAGAACAGATAAAGTTGGGGTGGGGGCCCAACACAATTCAGGAATGATTTTTAAAACTTCCCCAAGGAAGGCACTCTTCCAACCTCTTCATCAGTGATGATCAATTGCAGACTCCCCTCTCATGTGGTCAATTTAAGAAGGGTCTAGTGGGCAGTGGTTAAGTACTCCGCCCCTTACTTAAAGGTTGGTGGTTTGAACACACTAGTGCCACTCCACAGGGGGAAGGAAAAAAAATGTCGTAGTCTGTTTCCCCAGAGATATAGCCTCAGAAACCCTGTGGGATAGTTCTACACTTCCCTCTATGGCTATCATGAATTGGAATCAACAACAAGTTTTTGGTTTGAACCTGGCTATCCCCCAAAGAGCTCTGGTTGCTCAGTGATAAACTGTGCTGTAGCTCAAGCTACTTGCATGGTTTGAATTTGCCAGATGCTCTGTGAGGAAGAAAGATGGGCAGTCTCCTCCTGTGTGATTAACTGCCTCTGAAAACTCACTTGAAGGTCAGCTATCAGTCGGTTCCAACTAGAAGGTGCACAACACCAACATTGCCCACAACTGTAAGACAATCTGGTGATTAGGGAAGGGAACTGTTCTGCATTCTCCTGCCTGCCTCTAGGGTCTCTGGGTGGTCCAAACTAGTGTTTAGGTTTTGAACTCCACCTACAGAGTCACAGAAAGGCATGGTGATGTGCTTCCATGATGATTTAAAACTCAAAAAACAGCCACCAACTCAGATCTGACTGACAGCTGGCCCTCCATTGGCTTTCCCAGGCTGTAAATTGCAAGGGAGGAGATTGTCCATCTTATTCTCACTGTGTCTCATCTGGTGGATTTGAAACTCCAGAGAAGTAGCAATTGGGGTAGCAGTGCAACTGTCTACAGATCAGGCCACCAGAGTTTGTTCCATAAAGATTACAGCCAAGAAAACCCCAGGCATCAGCTCTACTCGGCAACACATCAATCACCAAGAGCGGGAATCAACCAATTCATAACGGATTTGGTTCTCCGGTTTGGCTACTTTCTGCAAAACCAACAAAACAAGTCATTTACTCTTTCCAGAGAAAGCCAGAAAGGGAAACAAGCTGAGGAGAGGTGGATGAGGGCACCGGTCCAAGGCAGCCTGGCAGCAGAACTGCTGCTGCTGTTGTTATGTGCCCTCAATTGACTACAACTCATAGAGACCCACCTAGTGACTGGCATATCTCTGAGGTCAGTCTCCAACCAGTGAATAAGAACTGACTGACCCAAGGCAGACTGCAGGCAGCCTGGTGAAATCCCTGCAGTTTGCTGGTGAGGGGGTCTGAGGTGTCACAAAGAAACCAAACCCCCTCCTCCCTCTCCTCACCACTCTCAAAAGGGACTCTTGGCTGGGGGTAGGAAAGTTCCTGGGGGAGGTGAGCTGTGTCTTCACTAACAACAATACAGATGGCTGGGGTGCGGTGCCAGGGGAACTGTGCCAGGGTCTGTCTCTGGGTAACCGCACAAAGTGGGAACAAGGATTTGAGGGCCCTTGGCAGGGAGTGCGCGCCAATGGGTAGAGTGCCCTGGCGCAGACCAGACATCCATGCGGGCATCCCTCCCACCCACGTACCCGGGAGGTGGGGCAACCTCTTCTGTTTGCGGAGGGGATAAGTGGGGACATTATTCCAACAGGTCCCCCTCACCAGGTCACACTCTACTCTGCCCTGAGGCCCCCGAACTCAAAAGGGCCAAGGCGCCTGCCGCCAACTGGGCTCTTATCTCTGAGGGATGGATCCAGGGCGGTGCCCTTTGGTGCGCCACCCCTCCTCGGGAGAGGTTGGGAGCTCCGGGATGGTGCGCCCTGGTGTCCCTTTCATGGCTCACCTGGCGCAGGTGCTGCAGCAGCGTCCCCGCCTCCTCCCGCCGGCCCTGGCGTATCATCCGCAGCAGCTCTTGGACCATGCTGACGCGCCGGTGGTAGGGGGGCAGTCCCGCGCCCGCACGCCCCGCCTTGTCACCGGCTCGCAGCAGCAACGACGCCCAGAAGTCGGGCCGTTCGCGGCGGGGACCGGGAGCCGCGCTGGGGCTGGCTCTTTCCGCCAGGCTGCCTTTGGTCTGCCGAGTGCCCATGTCGCCTCCGCCTGCCGGTCGTGGCGCGTTAGTCGCGAGCTAGCCCACCCAGCCGAGTACCCGCCACGCGGCCGCCAGGACGCGCCCGCCTCCCGGGCGGCAACTTTGGGGGAACTGTTGCGCGCGGGCGGCGCGAAGGCGGGAGAGGGCGGCCGCGCGCTGCCCTCGCTCCTCCTTCCTCGCGCCCCGGCGCGCTCTC